TCAGTTTTATATCATCACATTAAAGGTACTTTTTTCTTTTCTTTACACATTTACAGAGTTTTAGCACTTTTTGTCTGTTTGTTTGTCGGTTATTCTGAGCTTTCACTGGCTGTGGGTTCAACCTCGGGTCTGTCAGTGACTTTTAGAGACTTGAAAAGTGAAGCACAAAAGGGTTGGTCTGCTTTTCATCTGACCAAGCCTTCACCTGCTGTGAAAGGAAGTAAAAAGCCATTGAGTTATCAAGGAAAAGAAATACTGAAATGCTCTTGCAGTTTTCCCATTTTTTTTAGGTGGAATAAAGAAAAAGGCGTGTGGTAGCTCTTGTATCGCCTGAGCCATCTTTTCAGACGAGAAAAGAGATATTAAAACGTGACGATGGAGATGGTCGTGGGTTTAACCAGCATCATGACGGTGAAGGAACCTCCTAAATCATTCATATAAAACTCAAACAGCCAGCTGGTTTTTCCATGTTTTTATTCTGTGAATAAATATCTGGGCTGCCTGCAGTTGCTCAGTGAGCTGCAGCAGCTTTACATACACATGAAGAAACAGAACACCAAACACGTTACATTCAGAATACTTTGGACTTTGATTTGGATCAGTTCACCTCATCCTACAATCACGTCATCTTATTGCTAAAAGTGTCATAAATATTGGTGTTTTGTGCTTCCTTTAAGTTCCTTTTTTAATTTGAAATGTAAACTGGATGAACTGATCCAAACCTAAGGAAAAAACAAAAACAGTTTTTGTGGATTTTCTAAGTTGTGGATTACATTACAGACTGTCTGGTTCAGTTTGTTTACTCAAAAAGAAGTAAAAACAGTCAAACGCGCTTCAGACACACAAAAACACATCTGCTTTTCAAGTATGACTGCTCCTCCAAAATAAAAGTCTTTAAATTTGAACAGCAGAAAATGAGAGGATCAACAAAGGAAGCAGTTCACTGGTTATTAAACGAATGCTGGATGTTTTTAATTCCACCTTTAACTAGCTTAAAATGCAGGATTAATTAAGATGTAGATCCGAGGATTTACATGTGGAATTTTCACGTCTACAGCGGGAAAGAAAAAAAAAAAGTACTCAAGCAGTTTCTTTTAATTCTTCATTTAAATAACACTGCATTTAAATGTTGTTTGGGGGGATTTTACAATTTGTGCCTAGAAACTACAGAGGCTGTCGTCAGACACTGGTAGAATTACCAATAAAGTTTTAAAAAGAAGTTCAATGAGGAGAAAGATTAAGAACCATCTATAAGATATATAGATGATATATGAAGTCAAAAGAAAAGTAAGGTGAAACTGTCGAGTTGCTCTGTGTTATCTTAATCCTAGAGAACGTACAGGTTGCTAGGGAAACATGCGTATTAATTTTAAGGTCGGTTACAAAGACTAGTGTAGCAAAAACCTCGCTTTAGTGGCTAACAGGCTGCTGCATTTGTGCAGTTTGTATGGAAGACTCCAACTTGTCTGACACTTGTCAACTGCTCACTAAGTGGTAGAGAAATTATGAAGACTGAGAACGGACCTCTGCAGACCGGTCGGCATCTTCGATGCCAACGACAGGCGATCACAGCAACCTGCTGGCTATCAGAGCAACACGTTCTTTGCAACCAATTTCAACTCAGCGACAAGTCTCTAGGTCTAAAATGTGACGCTTTCTGTTTTCAAACAATGCCACTAAAGGATTTGTGATAATAACTGGAATAGTAAGACTAGTAGTAGCAACTTTCACAGTACTCCTTAGTTACTTTAAAGCAGCGGTCTCCGGTACCGGTCCGTGAGTCGTTTGGTACCGGGCCA